TTAATGATATATGATTACATTTGTAGGTATGAGATCACCCCTTCCGGACTATTTTCATAATCTTCTTCAATAAATAGCCAAATTTCAAAGCCTCATGAAAACGTTGAGAATCAAGTTTTCAATGCGCAGTTTTCATTATGAATTAACTAATTATATATGTTATATTGATATTTTGTCAATATTAGGGATATTCGAATTAAACAAAAGTGATGACGTATTTTGCAAACCGATCATTTTCTCGGAATTTTCGAAAGTATTTAATTTCATTCTTGGATAGAGCTAAGAAAGACGAATTCAATGATATATGATAGAATGGGTCTGAGAACACCCGTTTCGGACTTATCCCATGAAGTCCGAGATTAAAGTCGGACCCCCGACTTTAATCTCGGACCCCCGACTTTAATCTCGGACCCCCGACTTTAATCTCGGACCCCCGACTTTAATCTCGGACCCCCGACTTTAAAGTCGGGGGTCCGACTTTGAAGTCGGGATTAAAAAAAAAAGTATAGGTGGCCCTTCAGCGCCTTCGTAGGAATTTAAGTTTTCTATTTCAACTTTCAACTAATATTTCCATAACCTATATCGAAGACTGGAACCTTTGGCACGATAATACACTACACTGTTTTACCACTAACCAAACCGATTTTTTAACGCCTCGACACGTGTTTCGCTAACTATGTTAGCATCTTCAGGAGAAGATTAAAACAGATTAAAACAGTTTTAATCTTCTCCTGAAGATGCTAACATAGTTAGCGAAACACGTGTCGAGGCGTTAAAAAATCGGTTTGGTTAGTGGTAAAACAGTGTAGTGTGTTTTCCATAACCTGTATAAACTCACATTGAAATTGATTCTAAAACTACTGAGATATAGGAATTAATATACAATCAGAAAGGGAAATATTGGTTGGAGTAGTTTGATTATGAAAAATACGTCGGGCGTAGAGCAAGAAAAGTTCCCTGTGTCCATTCTATATAGATGGATTCTCCGATATCCAAATTGTAAGTACCGATATGTCATTCAATAAACATGTTTCTTTTACTTTGAATACTCTTTTTATTTCTCTATGTTCCACAACACAAAACAACCCACTCAATGCCAAGCGAGTAAGTAAATTAAGTCTATGGAGTAAGTACCCTCAAGGGGTAAGCATATTTTGAAGAGGTCATCAAGGTTTTTATTTAGTATTAGCATGTATTAGGCTCGGTTTCAGTTTAATCATACATAGAATATTCAATCTCAATATTTTATGGATTCGATAAAAAAATTTCACTATCCGCACGAGTGTAAAAAAGTCTTCACGGACGTGGTGCACACTATACTTTTTCTACGACCTTTTACTAAGAGATTTTAAAGGAAAATTTGACTAATTTTCTTTATTACAATAATAATTATTATGAACAGTTATATTGCAATTTTGTAAATTGTCAAAATGTACATTTACTTTGTCTTTCTCTACAAAATTAGTGCTACCTAGACCAGCGACCGGTGTGTGAATTTGTATTGACTCTTATGGCACCGGTGCGTGAAATAAATCCAATAAGAAAAGCATGGCACTTCACACACCGATTCGTGAAATGAAGCTTTACACATTTTTATCGATGTGTGAAGTTAGTAATTCACATACGGGAGTGGAAAAAAATGTTTGATATTTGATATTTCCAGAATCGTATATAACAATCGAAATGTCCCTTAGGGACATCCTTCGAATGTCCCTTAGGGATATCCGTCGGATGTCCCAATTGGTACATGAACTGTACTCTTCCAATGTCCTAGAAATAACGTCCTATGGACGTCCCAGTCGGTACTATCAATATGTTGTCCCTGCGAGGACGTTAACTCACACCACGCCGACGAATGATTGCTCGTAGGCCATAAGTACTCCTCGTCAATGGCCTTTAAGTGAGTCCATTGGACATCCTTGGGAAACTTTTTGGGGATCTTCTACGGACCATCAACTCAACTGGATGTCCTAATCAGTTATGCAAGATCTGGTCCTAGAGAGACCCAGAAAAATTCGAATCCAAGAATAATTCGTACGTCCCTGGGACATCCTATGGACATCCAATTGATATTCCTCAGCGTTGCTGATAGGTTGTCCTATGGATGTCCTAAGGATGTCCTCTGTAGGGATTGATGAGGAATACTGTAGGATTTAGGTATTCGATAGTTGTCCCAGGGACATCCCTCAAGGACGTCCCTAGTTGGTCCTCAAGTGGGACCAAATTCGAACGTCCTATGGATGTCCTGAAAGTCCCGACAGGACGTCCTAAGGATATCCATGTGACATTAGTGTGTTATTAGGGACAGTATTGCCACTTCTATCAGTAACAACTTTGTTATTTCAAATAGAACACCCTGTATTTTATTGCATTTCTAGATTCTTCCCGAAGAGCTGATTTCATCAATGAATCACACTTGGGGCATAGATGCTTGGGGTATAGCAGGAATGATATCATAGATATAGAGTGTTCAAAATCGAGATTTTTCAATTCTAGGATTTTTTTGTTTCGAAACTATTCATTATCGATCAAAACGGCTCGCATGTCCCTATCTCAACTTTTGATTCACTATCTACTGGAATTTGATTGGAAAAACTACAGGGTGCCTCAAGATTCAGAATTCTGATTACCTTGTTTCTGTTCCAATTAAATGTCAGTAGATAGTGAATAGAAAGTTAAGATAGGGACATGTGAGCCGTTTTGATCGATAATGAATAGTTTTGACACAAAAAAATACTGAAATTGAAAAATCTCGATTTTGAACAACCTATATCTCTGTAATCATTCCTGCTAGACCCCAAGTGATGATGACTTTGATGAAATCAGTTCTTCAGGAAGAATCTAAAAATGCAATAAAATACAGGGTGCTCCGTTCAAAATAACGTAGTTGATAGTTGTTTCTGATAGAAGTGGCAAGACTGTATTGATGAAAATATTTCATACGGGTAGGGAATATTCAATTATCAAAGCATCCCAATTTTCAGAATTTTCAGTCTTTTCGTTCACCAGATACTTATAATAGGCCATTCACCGTGGATCACCCTGTATAGTAATATGGCATGAAATTATTGTGTTATTCATGAAATAATGAGTGAAATAATCTTAACAAATACAACTCGTTTCATTGGTGATTATCGAAAATCCCACGAAACAAATTATGCTGCATTTAGGCAACCATGCATACTTGGGCTTTGCGCTCGCGTATTCATTGTTTTTTCGTCTCCTTTCATCCATTACATTGATCGCCCCTAATTTGGGAAACACCCAGTATGTCTACGTCTAAGTCATTGGAAATGATGCTGCGCTAAAAACTACCTCTAACAGAGAAAAACTAGTGCCTAGTGGTTTCTTGAAATAGTAGTTTACCTAAGAAATGTGGCAAAGTCACTTTACGCACATGTTATAGGTACACTAATTCTTCTACTAGCGTGCGGAAAAATCGCAATGTCAACATAAAGAAACATTCGTTCATATTATATATTCAGCTGTCAGTATACTACCCAGAAACTTAACAAATTTACTTTTCTGAACTAGTGCGGAAAAGTGACTCTTTCAACATTGAAATAAGTGCAGAAAAGTGGACTTTTCCGCACCCTAGTAGAAATAGCTATTTGTGTATTTAGAGCGCAAAGTGATAGATTGCCGCTCGACAAAGAAAGTTACCGCGCGATGCGGAGCGGAGCGCGGTAATCTTTGGAGAGCGGCAATGACACTTTGTGCTCGAAATACACACAAGATTTTTTCTACTAACGCAGCTTTTGGAAATAACTACCCTGAAAGTATGAGCGATTGGAATAGTTGAAAAAGTTCTTATCCATATTATCCCATTATGTCCAAAGGAAACAAAAAAAGAAAAATTGAAATAACTGACAAGCCAGAAAAAAATGTCGGGCCTACCGAGAATATAAAGTATAATTCATCGTTTTCAATATAGATATGCTTCATCGGGAGCTTCTTGTAGAAAACATTCAAGCATGTATACGTATACCATCGAATATATAGACCAATGAGTTGATGACTTCAAAGTCTTTGATTTTTTACCAAAATAAGCCAGTAAAACGTTTTCTGAATTCATATTCACCATCTCGGAGTGGCACCAATTTATGAATGTATCATATTGTAATTCATATTTCTTCCTTGATTTCTCCGGTAAGAGATTCAAACTCTTGCGCTTTCTCCTATATCATCAGGAAGGAGGTGTGTTTGATATGGTTTGATTATTCACTGTCACTATTTTCCATCATGAAAGAATTGGGGGTTTTCAAGAATAGATAAGTATAGGTTACAGAGATGTGCGAGCGTTTTTTCAATATTTCCGCCCACGAGCGCAAATGCTGTCAAAGAATGACATTTCTGGAAAAACGTCAACTTTGTGCTGGAATTTGAAAGCGTCAAAGGCTACTTTGTTAAGCGTTTGTAGAAAAATAGTTATTTAACCAACTAGTGTATTAATGAGGGCGATTAATGATCGAGATATTTTAACGTGCGATAGCGAAGCGAGCGCGTTAATGTTCGAGATTATTAATCGCCTTTTAATATACAAGTTGGTTACAAAATTTTTCCGTCGACAATATTTCTCATTTCTCCTGCAATGAAGTAAACTTGGTTCGCGAATTCATCATCCATCCGGAAACTGCTGAGAATCACCCAGTAGCCTCGTTACTGACATTAGTGACATTTGACATTTGTCGAAATAATCAACATAGGAAATAAATTCCTTGTGTTAGAAAATAGGGATTAACACTCAGAAACTTGGTAAGGCGAACCCGTTAATGGAAAATCGTCGATGAAATCCATATTTTCGATTTAAATGCAGATTCCGTAAGTTATAGCATAAACAATGAAGGCACGCGGTGTATGTTTGGTTGCCTATAAAACAATCGTGCATTAATAGACAAATCGTTCATTAATAGGGTTCATTAATGAACGATTTCATATACATTAAATAAGTCGTTAATACGAGGTCGACGGAAAAAATATTAATGTCCTTTCATTTCCAGGTGGAACAGTTCACAGTATTATGGCTGCTGCTTATAGTGATAGTGGCAGGAAATTCAGGAGTCATCTATACCCTGATCATGGGTAGATCCAGAAAAAGCAGGATGAACTACTTCATAACACATTTGGCATTCGCAGGTACCTATATCAACATTTGAATTATAAAAATCAAGTATGTTGCATAACTAATATGCAAGGTTTTTTAAATGTCTACCAGAAACCACAAAGAAATTTGGAAAAAAATTGTAAAAACAACAAAAAAACAAAATGTGAGAGTTAATGGGGCTATCTGAGCAGTAGGTTATGTTGAAACATTCATATTGCAAATCATCATAACAAAAAAGAGTTATGACCAAATATTAGCATTCGATATACGAGGTTTCGAAGTTGAGGCATTTATTCAAATATGATGTTCAATAGGCGAGTGGAAAAAAATTTTTATTTCTTGAATGAAATCATCACTCAAATACCTTTCAATTTCTCATTTTTTAAGAACTTTTCGGTCGATCTTTAGGTGCTAAAATCATTAATAAAATAATGCCACGGTAATTTTCAAACGGCTATAAATTAACCGCCAGTAAAAACTAACGCCACGATATCGTAAGTAGATGCAGAGATCAGTCACCTGACTGATCTCTGGTAGATGCAGGCCATAGCACTGTTGTATAAAAAGCGTGGAAAAATGTTGCAAAAATTAATTTTGGTTTCGAACTACACAGTGGAGTAATTGAATGCCAATAATTCATTATCAGTCCACTCGCCCATTCGCATAGCTAATAATAATTGCAATGAGTATTGGATGGCATAATTCTTATCTCGTTATCAAATCGCGGAATTAGGTGCAAATTACCGCACAGGAAAGTGCCAGTTTTCAATCATTTTGCTCAGAATAGTGATATTTTATTAATTAGTCCACTATCATTTCAGATTTATCTGTTGGATTAATCAGTGTGCTCACAGATCTTATATGGAGGACTACGGTTAGTTGGAATGCTGGCAACGTCGCCTGCAAAGTGGTCAAATTTTTACAGGTAAATACTGCTTCCTGCTGTGCACATCTCCTATACAAAGTGATTTACGTAGGTCATGCACACTTCAGAAGTTTTCCAACGTGCACCTCGATTAGCCTCCGAATCCTTAAGGTGGATTCATGCAACATCAACTAAATTATAGTCCAATAAATAAAGGGAAAAAGTTAACATTAATTACGCACTATTTTCATCTTCCGGTTGGAAGTAGCTTTTGGTACCTCATTAAACTTGAGACAAAGTTTGACTGGAAAACGCGTCTGATGGCGTTGAAAATGGCCCCAAAAGACCAGGAAAATAGGTTTTCAGCCAATATCTCCTAAAATATGGCAGTTAGAGATTTTCGGTTCAGATAAAAATTGAAGTTCAGTTAATTTTCTACAAAAATGATTCTAATCATTTTTCTCGATAATTTGCCCGGTTTCGAGAAAAACGGCACGAAGCGCACCTCGAATAATGAGCTTCCGTGTTGTATGCCGGAGAGCACAGTCCGTGTATTCACACATCGGCGGGGGGACAAATTATTCAATAACTTTGTTGAAAATGCATATTTTTTCATGATTCAAAGTTCATGTGAAAGAGGAATTCTGCTGCTATCATACCCTGTGAATTGAGTCACGCTTGACTGTTTTGGCCATATCGGAACATGGGTCAAACTTTCTGCTCCCGGTCAATTTTGACCTCGCCAGGAATTTGTTCCTATTTTTTTTTGTATTGCACTAATTTATTCAAAATTCTCTTGAATATGGGTCCTCATAAGGTCCTTTGTCATCCCTGAAATTTGTATACCCTAATTTTTTTTAATTTTCATTTAATCTTTGTTTATTGAATCCCAATTTTTTGCTGTTTTTAAAGCGCGGGGAAATTTTGTGAACAACCATCAATTAAAAATGTATACATGATCCGATTGGTTTCTATGATACATCATTTGAAAGGTAAGAAGGTCTCCTTTTCGATTGTGCAATTACTTTTTTAGACGAAGTCGTCCATTTTTCAATAAAATTAGAAACATTTTTCGGTGGTTTTTTTCTCCGTGCTCTTAATTTCTAACATTTTAACACCTTAACTAGTGTAACGGGGGAAATCCCACCTTTCCATCGATGTATATAAGTCATACCTTTGATATCCCGGGAAAAAACCAGTATATCTAAATGTACACGCTATAATTTATTACTTTCGTTCGTCGCGTGTGTGCTCTACGTGGCGCTCGGGTCGTCTGCTACAAACCATGCGGCCACGCAGGGTATGATAGCAGCAGAATTTCTCTTTCACATGAACTTTGAATCATGAGAAAATATGCATTTTTAACAAAGTTATTGAATAATTTGTCCCCCCGCCGATGTGTAAATACACGGACTGTGCTCTCCGGCATACAACAGAAGCTCATTATTCGAGGTGCGCTTCGTGCCGTTTTTCTCGAAACCGGGCAAATTTTCGAGAAAAATCATTAGGATCATTTTTGTAGAAAATTAACTGAACTTCAATTTTTATCTGAACCGAAAATCTCTAACTGCCATATTTTAGGAGATATTGGCTGAAAACCTATTTTCCTGGTCTTTTGGGGCCATTTTCTCCGCCATCGCACGCGTTTTCCAGTCAAACTTTGTCTCATATTTAATGAGTTATCAGAAGCTACTTCCAACCGGAAGATGAAAATAGTGGGTAATTAATGTTAACTTTGCCTTTTTTTCCTTCTTCATTTATTGGACTATTATAATGAATTTAAGATTTAAACGAATTCTAAATAGATAATACATGGGTGTTCATACAGCAATCTTTCATCAACTATGGAAGAAATCAATTTCTTAGTTGAATGTTGGCCATATTTCTTATATAGTTTTAAATTGGGTTTCAATCTTTTAGTTTCTTGCATGAGCACCAACATTACATTTCATAGTTTTATATTATAGGTTCAAATTGAAAATTCATTTAAGTTTTAAATATTTCTTGCATGACTCGCAGATTTTGCTTTCGCTCGTCTTCGTTAGACGGCCTCGCAAATACAAAATTCGATTGTCAAACAAAGTGTCACCTTTTTATCCTGATAAAACAATCGACTATTTTCCTTGACAACAAAACAAACTCCACTTCTAGAAATTAAATAGATAGGTTATTGAATACTTACTCATTCTCATTGATTTTTGTTTGTTTAGGTAGTTGTGACATACGCTTCAACATATGTTCTTGTAGCGCTCAGCATAGACAGATATGATGCCATAAGACACCCAATGAAGTTTTCAGGAAGTTGTGAGTATAAACTCAACTTTCAAGTTAAATTAAACCCCAAGATGAGCTGGAATTTTGATGTCTAAGATGTTGTTAAGCATTCAGCTTGTGAATCAATTAAAAGTTTCATTGACATGCCATAAACTTCACTAGTTATTAGTTAGCAAATTCTTTTTCTACAGGGAGGAGAGCCAAATGTTTGATCATAGCTGCTTGGTTGTTCAGTGTTCTATTCTCCATACCGATTTTGATACTTTACGAAGAAAAATTTGTTCAAGGTAAGTCTGGGGAAGACCACTGATTTTTTAAAACGACATTATCGTGAACTATATACTGAAAAACTACCAGTGAATTAATTTTGAATTTTTTCATTCATGCTAAGACGATGAAAAAAATAAATTAGTATATGTCCATTTCAAAACACACAATTCCTGCGCCATTTGAAATTTCATCAATTCATTGGTGTGACTGGTGCGACGTCTTAGCCCCAACACGCCTATTGTCCTTGAACTGACCAATTACACTGCAACACTGCAGAATGACGAGGTATCAGAGAGAGATAGCTACAGTTCGGGACTAATACGTCACGACTCCACCATCATATTTGGCTGTTTGAAATATGGAATGAAATATGCTGAATTCAAAACGATATAGATTCGATTTCCTTCAACTTCAACTCATAATATTGATTGTACATAAAATGTAAATCATGATTCGTCGATTGAAAGAGGTTTGCATGGATTTCTTCCCTCAGTGGTCTTCCCCATTCTCATAGTCTTCTCAATAGCACAATGATGAGGATTTATTTTCTACGACTATAACACAAAATTGATCTTGTATCACTGTTTTCGATAAATCAATGAGGTACATTGCATGTATTCAATTATTTCATTTCCACATCTGTCCCGGTCACGGTGTTAGTGGTCGAACTCCTCCGAAACGGCTCGACCGATGCGTATGAAATATTTTGTGCGTATTCGGTAGGTATGAGAATCGGCCGTAATCTATTTTTTGAATCGAAAATTCAAGATGGCGGATCCAATATGGCGGACGAGTATTGTTATCCGATTTCATTCAAAATTGGTATTTGGGGGTTTTCGGGGTCGGAGATTAGGATTCTTTCGTCAAATTTTGGAAATTCAAGATGGCGGATCCAATATGGCGGTCGAGTTTTGTAATTATGATGCGATTCCATTCAAAATTTGTATCTGGGGGATTTCGGGGTTGCAAATTATGATTCTTTCATCAAAATTTGGAAATTTGAGATGGCAGGACCAATAAAGCGAACAAGTTTTGTTATTATGATCCAATAATTTTATTCAAGATTGGTATCTGGGATTTTCGGGATCGGAGATTATGATTCCATCGTCAAAATTAGGAAATTAAAGATGGCGGATCCCATATGGCGAACGAGTTTTAATTTAATAGAGTAATTATTATACGATTCTATTCAAAATTTGTATCTGGGGGTTTTCGGGGTCGGAGATTATGATCTTTTTCTTCAAAATTGGGTAATTCAAGATGGCGGATCCAATATGGCTAACTAGCTTCGTAATAAATATCAGTTTGAAAAACTATATTAAAACACGCTCTAATAGATAGCCAAACTCGAGGCCAAACTGAAAAGAAGTAGAAAATTGATAGTATAGTTTAAAAAACTAAAGAGATAGATTGTCGAACTGAAAAGAAGTAGAAAATAAATAGTAGTTTGAAAAACTAAAGGAATGCGATATTATGGATACTCAAACTAAAAAGAAGTAGAAAACAAAGTAATAGAAGTGTGTTGATAAATATTTGACTGAGAAAATATTTTCTAGAAATAAATGTATATAGCAAAATATCGTTTGCCGGGTCAGCTATTGCAAGAAATAGTAGTTTGAAAAACTAATGAAACACACTTTTATGGATAGCCAAACTAAAAAGAATATCCTGTGGACAAATTAGATAAACTTTCATTTTCGAAAATAGGCACAATATCTACATTAAAATACGGAATGACGGATTAACTTGAATGAGTTGATAGCAAATACTCATTACCTACTAAGAAAATAAATTCAACAGTGGTGAACTATTGAGGTCTAGTTGATTGTTAAGTAAAATGTTAGAATTTACCACTCTGTTGATTTCTGATGATTCAAAATGATTGAGTTTCATTCTTTTATTTTCAACGTGTAGAATTTCGAAATTATCATTGAAACAATGGTTTCTTCTAATATACCGGGTGGCTACGGAAGTGTTGCCTACGGAATATCTCAGTTATTGTATGAAGTAGGTTTGTGAAATTTAGAGCGTCGATATAATGACATGAGAGCTAGAATTTGAGCAAATTGACATGTTGAAGTTAACTTCCGGTCTGACCGGAAGTAACATCAACTTTATTATTTTATATGGAAACACTATTTTTTTTTCTTTTCGCTTTATTCAGCATTCAATTTCTTTTCTAATGACATATCACAAGTTGGTATCTAACCAGAAACTAGATCAGAAAAAAAATATTATTGAAATTCACCGAGTAGGCCGTGGAAGCAAAATGAAAGCCAAAAATTGAAGAGTTGGCTATGGAAACCATACGTCACTTGATAACAGTTGCTACTACTGTGATATCTTATTTTCATTCGTCGGCGTTATAAAAAGCCGCCAAAAAAATATTGGAAAAATTGGGAAAAAAACAATACTCTGTAGGTCCATAACTCAAATAGGAACATGCAACTTTTTCTTGCCTGTACTATTCAGCATAACCATTCCTTTCTAATGATATAATAGAAAGTCATTTTTTGGCTTTCATTTTGCTTCCACGGCCTCTACTCGGTGAATTTCAATAATAATTTTTTTCTGATCTAGTTTCTGGTTAGATATCAAATTGTGATATGTCATTAGAAAGGGAATTGAATGCTGAATAAAGCGAAAAGAAAAAAAAATAGGGTTTCCATTCAAAATAAGAAAGTTGATGTTACTTCCGGTCAGACCGGAAGTTAACTTCGACATGTCAATATGCTCAAATTCTAGCTCTTATGTCATTATATTGACGCTCTAAATTTCACAAACCTACTTCATACAATAACTGAGATATTCCGTAGGCAATACTTCTGTAGCCACCCGGTATGGTTGTCGCGTATCTTGTGTTACTTTTCTCTTTCAAAAAATTCATCTTATGTTCATGAATGCGCTGATTAATTGTACGACCTGTCTGACCGATATATATCTTAGGACAAAATCCACAGTCAAGTTTGTATACCCCTGATTTCTCGAATTCAGAAGTTTTGTCTTTATTATTTTTGATAAACCTTCCCAACGTGTTATTCGTTCTATATGCTACTTTTAACTCCCGTTTATGTAGAAATGAATCAAGTTTTTCAGTTGATAGTCCAAAATAGGTTAAAGTTCTATAATTTTGGTTATTATTCTTGATCAGGAGGGGTGAAAGAACTTACAGTCACAACTCCAACACATAAACAATTCAATAATGACCAACGGTCATGGACATAAGGACATGTTTCGATGGATTCATCCTTCATCATCAGCAAATTTATGAAAAGAAAATCTGTGAGAAGAAACAACGCTTATGTTAGTTTCTATGTATTGATTAAAAAATCTAAATATACCTACCATTTTTGGTGGAAAAAGCTTACTTATTAAAGTTGAGTAACTGTTAGGGAACCATGATAACAGCTCCATGAGAGCTTATTTTTCGAAGATAATATGAACATGAATTTATTTATTTATTTATCTAGGATTTTAGGTTGCATACAGTACAAAGTACCAAAATAGCATCCACATTGTAGCTACGTGGCGAGGCAAGTTATACATCAGTTATATAGTTAGCAAAGGAAATTTAAAGTACATGATCACATGATGTGAAAAAAGATAGAAACATTAACAAGTCTTGATGAACAATACAAAAGATATACATAATACGAGTAAAGATATTATATCGAGTATTATAATATATTTAGTTATAGGAAACTATGATTGACGATTTCGAGTGAACTGATTTTTGAGGATCATTTTGAATCTATGTAGTGATATTCGATATTGAGAAAATGTCTATGTTCGGATTATTACAATATCTGTTAAAAAGATTATGCATTCTATTCAGAGAAGAATGCTGTCCTACATTCGATCGTCCTGCTGTACGAAATTGCAAATAAGTCCGTATTTCGGGAGGATCTGTTAGGGATTCTGAAATTGATTTTAGACAAAAGATATGGCGAGTCTATTAATTAGGGAATTCAGTATTTTATGAAACGTACATATAGGGTCTGTTACAACTCTCCTATCTGATAAGCTCAGTATATTATGTTGGGATCTGATGATACGGTAGTTGTGATCTTCGATAGTTGTGTGTGTTTTGAATGCGGGAGATCGTAAAAATATGTCTTGGACACTTTCGATTCGTTTTGTATAAGTTGTATATTGAGTGTTCCAAATGACTGAGGCAAAAGATATTTTACTATGAACGAAAAGCGTAGTATAGTGAGATAAGCGCTTTGGAGTGATTAAAGTCCTTCGAGTTTCGGTTTATGAAACCAACCATTCTGTTAGCAGAGTTAATCGTCCTTTCGATATGTATTTTAAACAACCATTTCTCATCAAGGGTCACTCACAAGTCGCTTATCTCAGATACACGCTTCAGGTCCGAATCATTAATTTGATACGTGAAATTCAATTTATTGAGTTTTCTAGTGAAGGATATGAAACATTTCGATGCATTCAAAAAGAGTTGGTGCTTGCGACGTCTGTCGATGTCCTGTTGTATTTTGAGGCAGTCATCCAAGGTTTCTATTTTGCGGTATATTTTTAAATCGTCCGCATAAAGCAGAATGTTGCAATTCTTGAAGCACATTTTTATGTTATTGAATCAACATGTGGGCCTGAATTTGTTGAATAGTGTCAACTAATCAACATACATAGATACAATGCAAGGTAAATGAAAGCTCTAAAAAATATATATTACTGATTGATAGAGTGCACGCCCCTGCTAGGATCGGCCCTGACCTGGACTAAGAAAATTACCCGAGAAGTGAATACTTTCCGAACGGTTGCCGTAAAAATAATTGTACACACATTATTCGTAAAGCTCACTTTGCATTTTTCCATTTCCATTTTTGATGTGGCCTGATGATTTGAAGGGCATTGCAGCTTATCCCCATTCCGAATGCAAGTTCTATACGTGCCATCACATCCTAAGTAAGGATCAAAAAACACCGGAAAAATATTCACCTCATGCATGTTTAAACAAACGCACACAGTAAACAGTGTGTCTACATGAGTTGTCTACCAATAGGCCATTTTTCTATAATTTGTTCTACGACAGATTAGGGTGAATGCACTGGTGGTAAAATCGTGTAAAAACTTATGACATTGCATTGGAGTTAGTACATACCGATTCCTTGATAACTTGAAAGTGATTTGTGAATATTTTTCAAGCAGTGTTTTTCATTAAATTTTAGATATTATCATCTTGACCACCCCGCAGCGAGTTCTCGACCATTTCAATGTTGATTCTCGACCACCGTACATCAGATTAATCCACAAGGAAATAGAATGATTGAAAAACACTTGACATGTGAAGATTATAATACAAAAATAATGGTATACTCAGGCAGATTCCTAAAAACTAAAGACCTAAAAAATACTCATTTTGAAACATAGAAGCCTAATGGTCATTGCCTCTGTCATTGTATCCGATTCTTAGAAAGAGCTATGAACAATAAAAATCAACATAAATCATACTTATTATGAATTTGTGCTGCTGCAATAAGTACTTCATGGTGAAATATGGTAAATATTTTGATGTAAAATTCATACTAGGACATAAGAGAGATAATCAGATATGATATGGTCGAGATCCAAAATTTAGTTCAAACTGGTTCTCGACTACAGTGGCTTTCGACCATCAATAAATTACATGGAGAAAGCACTTTTCAAACATGAAAAAAAAACACACAAAATAACACTGACAGACGATTATCAAATGATTTTCTGTGCGACTTATTTTCCCACTCTGACAGCTATTCTGAATTAAGTGAAGTTGCCGAAAACACATTTTCTAGTGGTTTTAATGGTATACAGAATACACCTTTTTTTATTTCGTCTGAAATTCCAGAACGGTCGAGAACCAGTGCTGGTCGGTTAACCAGTGCCTATATGTACCCACGTTCATTACACCATAGATTATTACACGATTATCTAACGTTGAATCACATTGAATTACAATAACAGACAGGTATCCAGTAGATGTCAATTGGATAGGCTTACCTGGACGTAAACTGGATTGCCCAAAATGTCCATATTGGACCAAAATCGAACATAAATTGAACAGCGACTAGGTGTGTCTAGAACTACGACAAGGTGGGTCAATAAATTGGACACTTTTGAAGGGAAAGTCCTACTCCCGTACTAGATAAAAAAACTGGTGTTGGTGCCTGTTGATCAATTCACATGACCAACTCAATGGTGAAAACTACATATCGATATCTATCTCAGCTTCAGAGTTACAAGGTGTTTTTCGAAAATATGAATTCTCGAAAAGTGGCTGAAACTCAGTTTTTTGTACAAATTCTTCGTTTCCATAGAAACATTTCCAAAGCATTGTGTTTGTCATGAAAATTGATCCTCAGGCACTGAAATCAGTCACCATATACCTAGTTTCAAAATAGAACTTTTCCTCCAAGAAGAACAAGTTATATTCTTGAACAAGATATAGGAAGGCCGATTTCAGTGCCTCAGTAATGATTTCCATCACAAACTCAGTCGATGATGCAGTTATTTTCATGAGAACATACAATTTTTGTCAAAAAATATATTGGTAGCCACTTTTCAAAAATGCGCATTTTCGAAGAACACCTTGTAACTCCGAAAGGAAGACATATATCGATATGCGGTTCTTACCATTGAGTTTTGCATGAGAATCGACCATCAGGCACCGACATCAGTTTTCTTCTATCTAGCTTGAGAAATGGACTTTCCCTTTGAAAGTTCCCAATTTCGCCCACCCTGTACTATGTATGCCATTTTGGTTGAGTTCACCAGGTTTCTCGATTGTTATTGATGATAGAGCCTTGCGATTTTTAATTAGGGCCTAGCCATAGCACCACTATACGGGAAATATTGCCACGGTGGCAAGTTAAGAGCGTATAAAATTGTTTTGTAGTTTGTTTTGCGAAAAGCGTGATGGTTATTAGAATACTGGTCCTTCCTCCGAACGAAAAGACCGGGGTTCGATCCCCACTCCAGCTACTCTTTTTTTCATTTTTTTTCAAGTAATCAATCGAAAGAATACTATATATGGATGCATTTATTGGTTAGGCCACCGAACATAAACGTTTATGTTCGGTGGTTAGGCCGATAGTGATTCGCTATTTTAATTATGTTTCTTCGGCCGGAAATTTTCAGTTTCTGGCGCCCAACGAGTAGCGAGGGAGGCGCAATATTTCCTCGCTATGGTGCTATCGCTAGAATCTAGTAGATTTTCACGTTCCTTTCCTACTTTTTTGTGAATGTCCAAATGGCTTGATCAGATTTTGCATAAGTGTTTCCGTTCATGAGATACAGGGCGATTTTGAAAATTTATAGTTTTTGGACCTCTTCTATATCTGAGTACCAAGGCTCTATCTTCAATAACAAACAAAATAGAATACACTGTACAGGGTGTCCCACTTACATGTGTCACCCCCCCTTCATCCTCGCAATTCTCAACCTATTTTGGTCATTCAAAAACTTTTCTGGATTATTTTTTCACGAAATTTTTGAGTCTGTTACTTATCCGTTATATCAACAAACTACAGGGTGACTAAAAAAATGTGTTTTTCAAATGAAATGATCTATATTTTTTCCTTCATTCGATGAAGCCCGTCAATCTGTACTCAAAAATACGTATCATTCAGATAATATTATCGAATAAAATTTAGATCATTTCATTTGAAAAAAAAAATGTTTTCCTCATAGCCACCCTGTATTTTATTGATATGAAGAAAAAGTGAGCGCAGATTCAAGAGATATTCCTCCTCTATTATGTTGAGACAAAAGACAAACGTGTATATTTACAAACTTATTACCGATTTGGTGATAATTTTTCACCACTGATGATCGAACGTTTAATTGAATAGTTATACAATTCAATATCATGTTATCATTACATCAACCAAAATGACAACAATGAGTAACATATTCAGCACCCATACAACGTTGAATAAACGTTATTGAATCAATGTATGTATACAGATATGCCAAGATTATCAAGAACAGTGCCGTCCGTTTTTCTTGAATCAAAAAGAGGTCGTATTCTCTTCAAACTTCTCGTAATAATAGAAATTATTTCTCAGATCAACTTCAGTGCTGGATAGAATTCTCAGATCAGTGGAAATGGCAGATGTACATGATTCTTGTCAGTGTCAGTCTGTTCGTCATTCCTGCAGCCATCATCACATCCTGCTACACCATTATCATCATAACCATATGGACGAAAAGCAATGCTACTTTCAGTAGCTCGAAGAAGAAAAATGGTGGTCGAGCAGGTACAAATCGACAACATGAACGAAATAATTTCACAGTAAGCTTTGGAAAAAATCATACAATACATGAGGGGTATATCTTCATGAGTTGATACGATCTATATTCGTTTAATAAATACAAGGAAACTCAGATTCATTTCCATGTTTACAAAATAAACAACACTAATGAGAGTCAAATAGCTCGAAACCATTCTGTAGGTGTCTAGCGTGGCCTGGCTAAATCGAAATCAATAGGCATTCAGGAAAGACTCACTTGTATCAGAATTCGTTTATACGAGTCGCATAGATTTCGGGAGGATGTAATTCATTGAATAAATCTTGCATTTCTGTCCCTTGATGTTTAATGTACTATCATCCAATAGTCAAACTGAAAAAAAGTTGAAAATAAAATAATAAAAGAATATTGATATTGAACACAACATAGAAAATATAAGCACCTCTGTTTCCAGTATTAGTTATCTATGTTGTTTGTTTATCGACACGCTTCTATTATTTTATTTTCAACTTTTGTTTAGTTTGGCCATCTATGGTAGCGTGTTATTTTAGTTTCTCAAGCTATTATTCATTCTTTCGTTCTCAGTTCAGGTTGGTTCAGGCTAGAGTCACTGGATGGTATTAGGAGATAAGAGTTTGGACACAGCTGATCTTCTGCCCTTTTCTATTACCAATACCACAATGCTTGAATGAATAAAAGAATAATAGACATATTTTCTGCTTAACTAATACCATCCAGTGACTCTAGTTCAGGGTTGTTCGGATTTTCAATTACCTAAAGCAAAACTTATATCATACCTGAATCATACCTATATTGATACTAGATTGTTAGATTCATCGATGACGTCATCGATTGCCTGATGAAAATGTAATTTAGAAAGCGTCAAGTTTAATTCGGACAATATCATTTGTTTTTGGGTGTATGATAAATTGACATTCATCATACAGGGCTTGGAAAGAAATTCTGAATTGAGACTCTATCACGAATCTGCGATTAGAGGTCTATAAAAATCACAAGTTTCCATCGTTCAAGTTTGAACCCCCTGATTGGGTATGAAAGTGTTGAAAAGGAATATTCTCAGATGAATTATGGACATACAAAAATGGATATATATTAATATGAAGCAATATATTGAGAATTCGCATTCTCTATGTGATGAGAATATCTACTCTTTTTCAGTTTATTCAATAGAAAACAACTACTTTCTTGGCTATATGCCACGACGAACATTGAATTATATCGATTGAACACACACGATAAGAGTTTGAAAATAAAATATAAAAAACTTCTGAAATTGAGAATTTGCATTCTCCTTCAGACAAAAATATGTATATGCATACATTATTCTGAATATTCAACAGAAAACAACTACTTTCCTAGTTATTTGCCACGTCGAACATTGAATTATATCTGATGAACATTCAAAAGGAGAACATGAAAAATAAAAAATGAAATCCTCCGACATTGAGAATTGACATTCTTCTTCAAACCGGATGAATAATATGATGTATAATGATATAAAAATATTGGTAAGTTATTGTGATTCAGAATGTATAATTTGTATCTGAATAATGGGTCAATCACAATTGATGATTCCTGAATTTCAACTGATTTTCATTTGACTAATCTGAATAATAATGATTTAAGTTTTCTGAATTTCACTTGTCTTATCCGAATTACAATTGATATTTTCTGAATTTCATGTGACTTATCTGAATTACAAATAACGTAGTCTGAATAACAATTGGTGCATTCTGAATAACATATAACGATATCCGAATTTCAATTGACGCTTTCTAAATTCCAATTGAAAAATCTGATTTACAACTGAAGTTTTTGGAATTTCACTTGACTAATCTGAATTGCAACTGATATTTTCTGAATTACAATTAGCTAATCTGGTTTACAATCAACACATCCTGAATTTCATCAGAGAAATCCGAATTACAATTTAAGCTTTCTGAATTACAATTGAAAAAGGTGTAGTTCGAAAACAAAAATGAACTGAATCATTTCAATGAGAATTCTAGAATGCAAAACCTAATCTGCTGAAAATTCATCAGAAAGAAATTTCCCTTTTATATTCCTATTTGAGGCTAATATAGCTGTATGTTCTAATCGAAAAAAAATTGACTATTTGAAAATAATTTCACCAATACATTATTGATTGACATCTGCTTACTGTGGTATTAGATTATTCCTAGGTGTTTTATGGTGGACATTATACACAGTGTTTTACTCCTCAGGTGTTTTCAATTTAAGGTTCTGACAATTCAAAACGAGCTAGTTCGAGGGGACTCATCCCCAGAGCGAAAGTCAAGACCATCAAGATTACATTAGTCATTGTTACCGGTGAGTTGAACGCATTTTTGTATGTTCAAGCAGAGATAAGTTACCCACCACAAACGTTTCAGATATTCGGGACGTTCCAAAGACGTCCATTTTCAGTACGGCGGACGTCTTCGGGACGTCCATTGGACATACGATTTTATAAAACCAGAGGTACATAGGACGTCCGGTTTAGGTCCGTTTGAGGTCTGAACCGGATCATTTTGGGACTCGAATCGTATTTCTTGAATACCATGGAAATAATATAAAATACATCCTTTGGATTTTTTTGCCAACTGGGAAACCAAGATGAAGAAAGATCGAAGGAGTTTTGAAATAAAACTCCAATAAGATTTTCAAATGGTCTTGAAATTCAGCAATTTTCAGATAATATTTCATATTCATTTGTTATTCAAAATATTCACTGAGTCAGTACCTACCTATATTTATGTAATTTAAAAACAAACTGTTTCGAAGGTCCAACAGGAGAAAAAACGAACTCAAAGTCGGTCAACCACAATATCAATATCAAAAATATAATCAGTGTGACTATAGTTTCGGCTCAACGGCCATCTTCAGACACAATTAAAAAGTACCTAGAAAGTAACAAGTAGTACAGGTGTTGAACAAAATGGTAGCTGAGAAAGAGATGACATACCTGTTATGTGGAAAAACATCTTAACAATAAAAAAAATGTATCAGTATAATAATCGGTTCGTTATAATAATGTTGAGTCCAGCCTCACAATCAACAAACTTTGTTACGGCTGAAAAGCCGAAAGAACATTACAATAAGTAAATTCAACATCAGGAGAAGGAATTAATTGGAAATCTACTCAAATGAGCTTCATCTGACTGTAATCAAACCATGAAGGAAAGACACAGAAATGTAAAAATTGAGAGTGGTTATTTAACATTGACAAGACAATATTGACAATTTCAAACACAGAATGAATTTTTTTTTTAAATAAGAATCAATCATGTGAAACACCCGAAAGACACTTAATAATGAAAATTCGGAAATAATATAAACATCCAATAACAATGTAAAAACATTTGGGTTGATGACAGAGACACACGCATAACTATGGTTTGAATCAATGATATGGTTGGCAAAAGAAGTAGTATTAGAATTTTCAGAATTGATAAATTTGTGAATCAATCTATTGTGTTCAGAGGCACGGGTCTCAAAACTCCTACCTGTCTGACCAATGTAGGATGAGTTACAATCGTTGCAATTAAGTCTATAAACAACAGATTTCTTAACAATAGGAATTTTATCTTTTGAGTAGATTTCCAATTAAATCCTTCTCCTGATGTTGAACTTACTTATTGTAATGTTCTTTTGGCTTTTCAGCCGTTACAAAGTTTGTGGATTGTGAGGCTGGACTGATCATTATTATAACGAACCGATTATTACTATTAAAACAAATTTTTCATTGTTAGGATGTTTTTCCACATAACAGGTATGTCATCTCTTTCTCAGCAACCATTTTGTTCAACACCTGTACTACTTGTTACTTTCTAGGTACTTTTTAATTGCGTCTGAAGATGGCCGTATAGCCGAAACTATAGTCACACTGATTATATTTTTGATATTAAATATTGTGGTCGACCGACTTTGAGTTCGTTTTTTCTCCTGTTGAAAAATGCCGGACCACTTTGAGAATGGATGGTTTCCATGACTTGTTTTGAAGGTAATGATTTTTTTTTTTAGTTTTCATCATATGCTGGAGTCCCTATATAATTTTCGATCTCCTTCAAGTGTTTGGACAGATACCAACAACACAACCCAACATAGCCATTGCAACGTTCGTGCAAAGTTTGGCACCACTCAATTCAGCAGCGAATCCAATCATTTACTGCATATTTTCTACGCATTTTTGTCGCAATATATGGTGAGTCGATTGAGGGTGTATCACTCGAAAGCAGGGACATCCTCTAACCTTTTTTCATTGACCAATTTTGGAAAAAAAAAATTCAACGTAAAAGCATGAAACAGATATTTACGTTGTAGCAGTTTGGACACCCGTCCCGTCATTTTGTGTAACGATGGAAACACATATCAGAGTTACACAAAATGGGTTTCCTAACTAAAATGCTCAAATCAGTGAATAACTATTTTGCAAATGAACCGATTTTCATCAATGAGAATGCAGTGTTCAAAAGATGCTTCTTTTTTGTTCAGGATTCATTGTTCGAAACTTTTCGAAGTTTCCCAGTTATACCAAGAAGTCAAAAAGAGTGTTACATAAGCGACACAGTTTATGAGCATCCGTATTCCCCAGGAATACTTTTATCCTTCTGCAAATCGACTTTCTCAAATCTTCAAGTCAATATCTCGAAATGGTTTTGGAATTTCGGACCCTCCTTATTCAGGATGTGAAATATCGATATTTTTCAATATTCTGCATTTTCATGCATTTCTGTGGATTTAAAAAAATTCAAGCGATGTTCAAACCGTACTGCACTGTTATACGATCGAATTCGTTCCTAGTAAAGTTATCAGCTTCGTGGATGATAGTATATACCCTCCATACCGCCTTCTCTTCCAGGGCTCCAATACCAGCCAGGCAAATCAGAAACGAACCAGGGAAAAATGTTGACAACATGACTTGGCAACAATTTTGGAATGGGGATCCAATGACTTGGTAAATTTCAATGCAAACAAAACACAAGCATATGCATTTTTTCTAGAAAAGCCGATCTCACTGTGCCCAACATAAGCATGTCAGGAGTAACCATACCTTTGAAGACATCCATTTCGATGCTTGCATGATGTTACTATCAGCAATAACCTTTCTTGGGAAAATCACGGGAGATCCATTGCTAAAAGTGCATCCCAAAAACTTCTGTTTCGGGCCAGGAGCTATTTCACTTCCAGTCAGCTGCTTATGATATAAGACACAGATCCGATCTGTCCTGGAATACTGTTCCTAAATTTGGAGTGCAGCACCCAAACATACCCTGAAACTATTGGATTCTGTCCAAAAAAGGGCAATTCATCTCGTGGGTGATGCCTCGCTCACAAACTCACTCACTTCTCTGGAAAACCTAAGAAAAGTTTGCGATCTGGCTCTATTTTATAGATATTTTCATGGGCGCTGCTCATCTGAAATATCAACAATTCTTCCTCCATTGGCAGTCCCCGCGAGATTTACCCGTCGAGTTGAGGCTTCACACCTCTTCGTGGTCACTTTGGAGACCTGCCCAATCAGCCAAAGTACGTCTTGAAGGCGTCTTTAAGACGTACATGTCGGGACATAAGTACGTCCTCAACACGTACATATTACGCCCAAGAGATGTCTTTGAGACGTCTTTTTTAGGTGTTTTTGGTCCATGACCTCAAATTGATCTTTCAAATTACGGAAAAATCACATAGTTTCAGTTGATTTTCACCTGTGCACTGAAGTGCAGACAAGCAAAGAAAAAGGGAAATAAACGATTTCATCGAACGGTAGACACAAGCGGTCGGTCACCCATTCAAGTACTAACCGCGCTCTTTGTTGCTTGACTTCGATGATTATACCATATCCACTTCTTCTGTTACTCTGTTTGTTCCATATATCACATAAAAAGCTTTTACTTAGTTTAACATGTCCTTTTGTCTGTTTGTGTTACGAAGGCCTGGAAGGAACACATAAAATAAAAAAAATAAAAACTTCAAAATTCTGAGTTATAACTCGGAATTTTAAAATTCCGAATTTTACATCAAAATTCCGACTTATATCTCGGAATTTTAAAATTCCGAGTTATAAGTCGGAATCTTGAAGAGTTTTTATTTTTTTTATTTTATGTGTCCCTTCCAGGGCTTCGTACTACGAATCATTGTAATCAAAACGTGCAAGTTAAATATGACTCACTTTAAATCGTCCGATAGATTTGAAATTTGGCAAGTAAATATTATTCCGGTGACAATTCGTTGTGATATTATTATTGAATGGAAAAAACAGAATGGCGGATCCAATATAGCGGACGATTTTCTCATTGATTTTATGTTCCGATTCGAATCAAAATTCAATATTCAAGATGGTGAATCCAATGTGGCATATGGTTTTCTGATTATGGTCTGATCTGATTCAGAATTGGCATCTGAAGGATTTCGGGATCAGAGATTATAATTATTCCTTTTGTCGAAAATGAAAAATCCAAGATGTCGGCTTCAAAATGGCGGACGAGTTTTGTGATTATAGTCCGATTTTATTCAAAATTGATTACTATGGGACTTTTGGGGTCGGAGAATATGATTTGTTTGTAAAAATTCGAGAATCTAACACGAATGCTCCAAAGGGCGGACGAAAAATTTCAAAAACATCACTTTTGTTGAAAATAAGAAAAAACTGAACAATTGAAAATAAAAAACGTGAAGAGATGACATTTTGTTTTTCTTCAGAAAATAACTTACATTATTGTTCTATAAGTCGAATTGACGTACTGGAATGTACGTCTTTAAGACGTCTTTTATACGACATGGGAGGAACGGCGTGGATACGACCTAAAATGTACGTCTTAAAGACGTAAATTCGTGTACATCTTTAAGATGTACATAGGATTTACATCTTAAAGACGTACTTTATACGTCCCTGGACGTAAAGACGTAAGTAAGTCGAGAAATGTACGTCTTTAAGATGTCTGGTGCTGATTGGGAAGCAAGTGATTACAATAGGCGAGTGGACTATTTTTTTTTCTTTTCAAATAGAATCATCACTCAAATACCTTTCGATTTCATATTTTTTAAGAATTTTCTGGTCAATTTTGAGGTGCTAAAATCATCAATAATGCCACGGTAATTTTCAAACGGCTAGAAATTTACCGCCTGTAAAAACTGACGCCATGATTTCGTAAGTAGGGGCAGACCATAATACAGTTGCCATATGTTGAAATACGATTGGGAACTTCAGGAATATTAGTTATACAATAATTCATGAATTCTCAATTGAGTATTGGTAATATTCCTAATTAGCAATATAAATTCAATTGTCTCAAAATGTTCCCTTATGATTTGTGGATTATTGCTTATAATCGGCGGTAACGTTATAATACATTTGTGTGAATACTGATTATATCAATTCACACTAGAGAACATTCGAATTGGTGTACGCGACTATACCGCGCACGTCTTGTGGGCGTTTTCTTGTCAGCTCTCAGCATTCAGCCCAATGTTGCCAAGTCTCCAACATTTACATATTTTGTTATGGAGAATGAAGAATATTTGATTATGCTGGTTGCTCGAAAAAAAAAAGTCAAGAATGAACTATAATGTCGTGAGTTCCTCCTATTATGTTTTGTTCAACGACAGGATTTGATTAAAATTGGTGACTTGACAACCTGTCATTATCCTACAGTAATCAGTCTAATCATTGAAGTTACATTATCACTGTTCAGATTCATTGAAACCAGCAATGATTAGACTGATTACTCTGTAGGATAATGACAGTTGTTGTCACCAGCTTGGCAGTTCTTTCATAATGGGTTGTTATATTGCGTGTTGGAATGATTGATATGTAATCACTTATTGTTTATAATCGTCTTTTCACGTGCACTATTCCTAAGTGATGGAAGAAACGTGCCCTATAGAGGTTTCTCAAATCCATACCAACTCAAGAATGTCTGGAAATCGATATTGCACCTCCTGTATAAGGAAGGTCGGAAATTCCAAAACCATCTGGAGATATTGACTTGAAGATTTAAGAAAGTTGATTTGCAGAAGGATGAAAACATTCCTGGAAAGCTCCTAAACTTGTTCGATTATGCAAATCTCTTTTTGACCACTCGGTATGTCACTTCGAAGGGTTTGGAACGATGAATCTTGAACAGAAAGGACGCATCTTTTGAACACTGCATTTCGATTGAAAATCGGTTGATTTGAAAAAAAAATATCGCATTTTAAAAAACATCCAAAATTTGAATTGTCCACTTGAATCTTTTAGCACTTTAGTTACGTTCAATACTTGGTCTAATTTGATAAATATTTTGCCTGAATGCGAGTTCTACCGATTATGTACAAAATGTAGGTAAGTTGACTTCGTCCGTCACTTGTATCCATCCCATCAGCGACGATATTCACGAAATAGACTCATTTGATATTTTCATTTTAGTGGAAAATGGCTATTTCAACTTCAGATTTCCCAAGTGATATCGAGAAAGCATCACGAAATGCACTATTCTCTTCATCCATCCATATTTTAATCTCGCACCTGGTGTTGAATGAACATTTCATCACCAGTTATGTGATATTCAACATTACGCGACTGTTTACGTGAAAGTAAGACGTTTCCAAACCTCCGTCAGTTTTGAAGTCTTGCAATGCAACATGTAAAAATCGAAAAAACAGTTCTTCATACCCACTGCCTAAATTCCTGGTGGTGGAAATAAAGAAAATTATTTCGGTGGTCATTAAACAAACAAAAAGTGGCAAAATATTTCTGCTTCCAAAGTGGGTCAAACTGTAGATGCTGAGGCTTGAAATATAAAAAGAGATTCTCATGAATCCATCTTCACTTTTTAATGAAATGAAAAAATGATGAGTTCTTCATCTTATTAGAGGATCTATGCCGACTCTTAACCACTGTGTCCCTCTCTCTCCTATTACGTACGTGCAAAAATTCACAAGATTTAAAAATTTCTACACACAAATAAATTGTTCCTTAGGATGTTTGATTCAGCGTAATTTCCAATATTATTTCGATGAAGTATATGTAATGAAGATACCTTGTCACATAATTTGTGATTAGGCTGCTGTTCTCATATACGTAAGTGGGGGTGACATCAAGGACACGAAATGATCTTGAATCGGCATAGCTCCACTACTAATGGTATCTACAAGCAGAATACATTTATCTGTTTTCGCAGGTTGCTACCACCTTGCAAATGGATGTGCAAGAAGAAAAAGAGAAAGGCCAGAGACTCAACTGTGACAACTCAGAGCAGCAGCTTGTCAGAGTTTCTCACCAACACTACACACAAGAAGAAATCGGAAGCATCCACTGCCGTAGACCATACAGTATTTATCCATACCAAAAAGTGAACTGCTTCGTATTATATTTATACCTACCCACTATAATTATGAATGTTGTATGTGAAGAATAAACATAGATTGACAATTTCTTTGATGATTACTGTCTGTGTAGGTTAATAGACTTTTTTCGCCGGCGGTAGTAGAAGTTAGTTTCTCTGATGGTAAGAAAAGAGGGACAGAAGTCTCCTATTATTCCCTAGGGAGATAATGTGACATTTTTTCTTCCTAGGGAGTTGATACCAACTTCAAATTTTCCGCATAACTCTGCGATTTCTTTTCGGAACACCCTTCTCTGAAGCAAGTTGAGAATCACTGCAGAAGCAGAGTATAGTTCCATGAATGTTATCCATTTTCAAAGCTGTTTTCATGAATTTCAGTTTGATTATTTACTGTCACCATGGGTTGTCAACAAGATGCATGTTGTCAAGATACGAATTCCACAAACTATACTACTACTAATTATGACAAAACACTTATTTGACCAAATTTGTATTCTTCCTTAATTTTTGTGTTTTTGCGAGCGTAAAAAATAGTATATACTCCTCAGGACAGAATGCTATTTTTCTTAGGAGCTGAGTAACGTGCATCGATAAACTGGGTGTTTCTGAAATTGGGGAAATGAATGAAATGGATGATAGAAGACGAAAAAACAAAACGAAATAAAAGAATACATTTTCGAAAAAAAAATATTGAACAGAGCTTATTAGACCAACATACAGGGTCGCTGATATGTATGGAAACAGGTGAATATCTCGGTAACCTGTTGTTGAATTTTTTTGAATTTATGTACTGTGTGATTTCAAAACGTGGCGGATTTGAAAAAGTTATAGCCAATGTTGCCACTTTTCCAGTTATTCCGGATTTTTCATCAACTTTCTTATTTAGAATGGAACACCCTGTACTTTATTGGATTTTCAGATTCTTCTCGAGGAGCTGATTCCATCGATCTATCACACTTGAGGTCTAGGGGGAATGATTACATAGGTATTGGATGTTTAAAATCTAGGTTTTTCAACTTTAGGGTTTTTTTGTGTCGAAACTATTCATCATCGATCCAATGTTCCTATATTTACTTTTGGTTTACTATCTACTGACATTTAATAGAAAAAATACAGGGTGGTTTAATATTCAGAATTCTGGTCACCCTCTGTTATCTGTTCCAATGAAACGTCAGTAGGTAGTCAATCAAAAGTGAAGATAGGAACATCATAGCGGTTTTGATCGATAATGGATATAGTTTCGACACAAAAAAATCCTTAAGTTGAAAAATCTAGATTTTAAACACCCTATACCTATGTAATCATTCCCGTTAGACCCCAAGTTTGATAGATCGATGGAATCAGCTCTTCAAGGAGAATCTGAAGATACAACAAAGCTCAGGGTGTTTCATTCAAAATAAGGAAGTTACAAAAAAAACCGGAATAACCGAGAAAGTGGCAACGTTGGCTATAACATTTTCAAATCCGCCACGTTTTGACATCACACTGTACATAAATTCAAAAAAATCTAACAACAGATTACCGAGATATTCACCTGTTTCCATACATATCAGCGACCCTGTATATAAGCGCTTACTTTATGCGAGATCATAAGCACCAGAAGTATTAATTACTGCTGCAATGTTGCCGGACGACACGTTCAATAATAATGAAAGTGTTGGTAAGTATGGTGGGAGCGCACATTTTTTGAAAAGTTGTCAGAACAAATTTTTTTACATTTATCGTGTCATTATCTCTCATATAGAACATATAATTTCATTTATTGCCAAACACTCTGTAGAAAATTGAAAATATCTCGAAAACGATAACCTCCAGCATTGTTGAAGAGATAACTTTTTTATTCAGAAAGGGATATAAGGTATATTCTCATAAAAAGTGACAATAGTTCACTATCAAAAAATTGTGGGTCAATTTTAAATAAATTATAATGAGAACGACTATGCATATAGACTTTTTCCTTTATAATGGTATCAGAAATACGTCATTTGAATAATGAAATATTGATCCACATCACCCTATATAGCAGGTACTAGGTACATATATATATATTATATATTTCAATAAATGTGTACTTACGATCGTTTCAAGTTGAAGAAGTGAAAATACATATACTATTACATAAATAGATAAAAGAATAGGACGTAAAATCGAGACAAGAATATATGTGTATTGATCTATAGACTCTATAGAGCCTGGTAATTTCTCTAGAATTTGAGAATTTTCTTCGCTCATTACAAATAATTCGTCTGAATTCAAAAAAATACATCGATTTCTACCGATTCATAAGAAAAAATATACCAAAATCATGGAATTCAAAAAAAGAAGCGCCCTGTATAGGTATGGTAGGTATGTTGATATAGGTAGAGGAAAAATCAGCTCAGCTCAGGATTGAAAAAATCAAGAAAAGTTTTTGTATAACAAAAATATGTTGAGAATCTAGAGATTAAACCCCTCTAAGGAGGACACCCTGTATACATATCGGCAAGTAATATTATCTTTCTACCACATATTATTACATAACCCCATATCTTTGGACAAAAGTTGTAGAAAGTAGAAAGGCAAGAATATGAATACAAAATCAATTCGTATATTGGAAACAACACCATTCTGATACGCCTCTGTTTGTTATATTTTAATAAATTAAAGGTCAGGAGGGTTAGATTTAGATGAAACATAAACATGAAAGATAAGTAAAAGTGGTAAAAGTAATTATAGTGAGGTTATGTGATTAGATAAATGAAGTAGTATTTTGGTTTATACAGCCATCTTAGTTTATACTCCAATTATTGTCTCTGAAAAAATCAAGGATATCCTTGACTCTCTAAGCATGTCTTACAGAGATCCCAAGTATCCTGAAGAACATCCGCGAAATTTGATACCAGAATTGTGCAGACAATTTTATCATTTGGGCTGGGTAACAGGAACAGGTAAGAAATATTGGGGATGTGAACCAGAAAATAGAAATAATTCGAATAATCGTCCTGTTCAGAGTTAGCAACATATTCCTCATGGTATTTTTTAAGAAAAATAGTTTGGATAATAGGTCTATGGTTTTAGCTCAAATACAATCCATGATAGTAAATAGGTTCCTTACAGATATGCAACACAAAACACTGAAATGAATACAGTGCAGTGCGAATAATTTATTATTGGGGATTGACTGACTCATTTGAAAAAGAACAAATAATATTCTGAAGCTGGAACAGAGAAGGATTTATCTTATATTGTAAATATTGAATAAGAATTTCACTACCGATCATATCTATGAAGGGAGACGGTCGATGGTAGGTTAGACGTTTATGGAGAATAAGCAACGAAGGATTCTTCTGAAAATTTCGCATCCTACATTATATCACCTGTTTATGAATCTAAAATATCTTCACAATTGCGACGTTGCCGCTTCTATCAAAAAGTCCTAGCAACTTTCGAATTCTCCCTGAAGAGCTGATTTCATTTATAAATCACGCTTGGGGTCTAGCGGGATTGATACAGAGATATAGGGTGTTCAAAATCGGGATTTTCCAACTATAGGATTTTTTTGTCGAAATGTCGAAACTATGCATTATTGGTCAAAACGGCTCACATGCTTCTAACTCAACTTTCGATTTACTATTTACTGACATTTAATTGGAATAGACGCGGCGGGTGGTTCAAGATTCAGAATTCTGATCTCCCTCTGTATATCTGTTCCGATTAAATGTCAGTAGATAGTAAATCAGAAGTTGATATAGGATAGATATACAAGTCGTTTTCTTCGATAATAAATAGTTAAGACACAAAAAAATCTTCTACTTGAAAAATCCCGATTTGGAACACCCTATATATCTGTAATAATCATTCCCACTAGACACCAAGGTTGATTATATGAATGAAATCAGCTCCTCAGGAAGCAAGAGAATATTTGGTAACGAATCATCATAAAAGAAATGCTCACGGTTGGGTAGGGATAACCTGCTGTTATTGTGGTGGTATTTGGGCATATTATATGGGGCATTATGAGTTCATCTGGGAGGATGTTGCCAAATTTTTTTCTCGAATCAAAACCATCATTGGGCGACAGGATTGATGATATAAGAGGGGTTAGAATATCAATGAAAGCTGTTTAACACTTGTATTTCATTCCATTTCTTCCTCCACAAGCACATATATCGTAGTTTATACATATTTTCGGAGCATGAATGTCTATTCCTATATAGCATTATCATACCAAAAATTCAAATTATTATGAAGAAGTATTACCGCAAAATTTTTCAACATTCAAAAGTCATTTCAGGAGTCCAGTAGTGTTTGAAAGTATTCTGGGTATAGAATTGCAAACAATTCCAAGATATTTCCTGAGGCGAGTTCACTTTATTACACAATTTTTGAGTCAGACTGTGAGGTTAGAGTATCTGAAATACCGCCATTTCCGCCATTTCATACACTCCCTCCACAATCGTCTTCCTGTCATTCCGTATGGGAAGACGGAATGAAAAGTTAGAACCAGTTTCAGAATCGTTCAATAAAACTATACGAATTGTCATTCCGGTGGAAGAATCTTGCCAATGAAACGCACCTAACATCAGCGGACCACAATCATGTTACATCGTCGCCCAGGCCGCCGGACAAAATTCTGGAGATATAATATTGTTATTGTGATACTACAATTTGAGATTATTCATACAAATGTAGTTTGTCTCCACTTTCGAATCGACAGCGGCGAGATTGTGAAATATCTATAACGGTCAATTACGGGACGGATGACAAACAAACATAATAAATATGCGTACATCAAGCCGTGGATGCACAACTGATGTCATTCCAACATTTTGTCGATATCGGTTTGCCGCTGCCGACACATATGCGCTGCTATAACAGCTATGGTCCGGCTATTTACCGCATATTCATGTTTGCTGGGACGACTCCCACTTAATTTAGTCATCATCATCAGTTATACCAAATTTCATAACGAATCTTATCCACAGGTGGTGGAATAAGCATCAAACATGGCGACGAAATCTACATCGCCCCGTCCGCTGTGCAAAAAGAAAGAATCCAACCCATCGACATGTTCGTTCAGACCATCGAAGGGGCAGACTTGGAAGTGCCTCCGCCAGAGAAAAGGCTGAAGAAGAGCCAGTGCACCCCTCTGTTCATGTGCGCGTACACCATGAGGAATGCGGGAGCTGTCATCCACACTCACTCGAAGGCCGCCGTGTTGGCAACCATGTGTTTTCCTGGCAAGGAGTTCCGATGCACGCATCTGGAGATGATCAAGGGCATCCGCAATCAGAAAACCGGGGTGAATTTCAGGTGGGTATCAATTTGGTTTCAATGAAAGCTACCATTTCGGACACAGCAAACCAAAGCATAGCGTCGGCTTACTGTCAAAACCTCGTCCTTCAGAGCTGATTGTTCAGGAGGGAATAAAACGTTTTCCACTAGGTACTTCGAACGATTCAAATTTCATTTTTTTTAAAGCTATTCCTCCTTCATAAAGGTACCTGCTTGATGAATGGAATCAACATTCTGAGAAGATTTATATTCTTAATGTTCAAATAAACGACATAGTAGGTATTTACAAAAATAAATTGAACATGATGCAGACTGAATTGGTTTTGATCAATTACTAGTGAAAATTTTCATTTAGTTTGGACTTGCATCACAGTGCATGTAAGAAATCTGCGGCAGTTTTGATAACAATGAGAAATATGGATTCAACAATAAAGAACCGAAATATTTCAATCAATGTCTTCATTTGAAATAAACAGAATTAAATTATACAAATATCCATAACATCTTCTCAAAAGCTCTTAAGTCCTCTACTAGATAGATAACATACATATCAGAACCTCGTAAGTCTGTTCACATAAAGAATCAAAACAAGATTTTCCTTCGCATCACTGCAGTAATATTCGAGAAGATTGACCAAATAGTTCATCATAAACTTACTTTGATGTCTGACATGGATTTCAGTTCAAATAAATGAATCAAACAATAGAGAATCATACTTTCTCAACAAGCACAATTCAACCCTATCCTAGCTCTCTTGCACTTACGAGTTTTTGAGTTCAAAATCTCTCAGAGTAGAGTTAGGAGGTTTAAATTATGTCTAATAGATGTCGCTACCAAAAACATAGACTTACGATGATTTGGTGATGGGTCGCTGAATTTCGTAGGTGGTGAAACTGTTGAAACATAAAATTCCCTAGAATTAGGACTTACGAGGTTTTGATAGTAAGCCGACGATAGATGATATTTCAGACTAGATAACAATAGATATAAACACCGTGATTCATTCATGAATCATTGAAGATACGAAAACAACTCTACACTACAAATACGGATAAATGAATGAAATCGTGAATGGTGGGGATAACTCTGCGGAATCATATCTAATAAATCGGAATTTCTATAAATGTGTTTATGTGCATTGATAAAAAGTCAACTCTCACGAGTTGTAACATAATAATCAACATTTTGTAACGTCTAAGTGATGTTATTCTATATAAGTACGACCTACCTATTCAATATTATAAACATGCTTTCCATCAACGAAAGCATACTCTCAAATATTACCGCTACCACCTACTGTACTAAATTTATACGTACCTGTGAAATATCAGGTTAGGATATTTGTAACTAACTTTTCTTCACAGATTTGACACTGCCGTACCATATACAGTGTCATTCATAAAGTCGGCATCATATGGGAAAAACTTCAATTTAATAACGATTTATTTCGGTATTCGACTTGGACGGTGAGTTTTGCTTTGAAAAATATGAAAAATGGACTACTCGGTCGGGGTCACGTGACCTTCTTTACATGTCAAGAGTAGGGGTGGGCGATTGTGATTTTGGATTATCGATGTTATCGATATTGTTGATATTTTTTGCATTAAGTACCCGAAAAGGAACATTAGGCGTGCTACAGGTAGAAAGCGAACTATATACTGCATTCCAACTAAGAAGATAGTAGGTGGCGCTTCTTCTGAAGGAATGTTTACACTGACAAAATAAATTTATGACGCCTAATCCAAAATGATTTTAATGTATGAAAAATAATTGGAATTTTATTATATCGATATACCGATAATATTTCATCTGAATTTTTATCGATATTATCGATAATTATCGATAAGTTGCCTACTCCTAGTCAAGAGTTACATTTTTTCAAATTAGGTAATCGCTGAAAATAGCCTTATTTGTTTGAATTTCAAGTTTTTTCTTTATTTATTGTGGCATTAGGTGTAATTTGGAAACACCCAGCAGATAGCAAGAATTTTCGTTTCATTGCGGCTATTTGAAGTCCAGCAATTCCTCTAAAGTCATCACCATGGACAAGATTACCAAACTTCAGATCAAAAATTAGATAGCTCGAAGCTCGGTATACATTTAAATAGAAAGAGTCCTGAAAGAGACTCTTGCAAAACAACCTTGCACACCAACATTTTCCCAGATATACTGCATGTTTCTACTTGGACAATAATTGATGCGTTGAAATATTAGTAATCACGTTTATATGCTTCAGATATGATGAAGAACTTGTAGTGCCTATAATAGAAAACACACCATTCGAAGAAGATCTGAGAGATATGTTGGCTGAAACCATCAAGAAGTATCCACACACCTGTGCTGTTCTTGTCAGAAGACATGGGGTAAATTTTTTCAAATAACTAACATTCTGAAATGATAAGATGGTGACGATTTTCAGGTATATGTTTGGGGAGACAGTTGGCAGCACGCCAAAACGATGACAGAGTGCTACGACTACCTTTTTGATGTGGTTGTCCAGATGAAACAGCTTGGATTGAACCCTAGCTTGACACCGGAACAATACGAACTCAAAATTCAAAATGGCGAATAATTCTGTTATGTAGTTTATATGCAAGAGCAATCTCATCAATATAAACCATCAATTAAATATTTTTCATGATAGCTGAATATTTCATCAATTATTTATGGTTGACTAGGAGAACAATATCATAATGAAACTATTGAGGAACAACTGATATTTTATTTGGAATACCTACATTTATGTTCACAGTAAATATTCACATATAAAATATATTTATATCGGACAAAAATCATCTTCATTGAAATTGAAATGACGGACAAGCATAAAAACTTACGACGGATTTCAACAAAAACATCAATGAGTTGATTGTATACAATACTTTAGACAGAGTTATTATGTCATTATACAGGATTAGCGTATAAACCGCAGACATGACATCTCGACAAACGCCTATCCATTTGCGATATCACATGAAGCATTAGCATTTTGGATGAGCAACAAGTAACATTATTAGCCGACATCATCATATTTAAGCGAGCAATTTGGTAGGAAATATATAGTTTGAAGGGTTGTGTAGCTTAATATGAATTCAGTCATATTAGTTTCCACACATTTTCTAAGAACAGGAATGAATCTGTCCTTTGTATAAATGATTTGAGTTGGATATGCTGTTTGCTCTCATGTGACGTCATAAGAAAGGCATTTCAAGAATGCAAGATGGCGGTTTTGCTGTAACGCTGTGTCTGTGATATAATAAATCCGACTTTCGATAGGTACCTACCAAATTTGATGTTGAACTATTTTTCAGAAGATATGCTAGTCAATGTATACTAATCACAAAAGAAATTACATTAACTTCAAAACCGGAAATCATTATGAAGTCCCAACCATAGAATTCTATGGGTTAACGAAGTTTTTCTCAATAACTATGGATCAAGTAATGAATGAGTAAATTCGATATACAATTGGAAACAAATATCATTTTCCATTAAAATTATGGTAATATTAGGTACTTGTAGGTCTTACAATCATCAACTTCTAATAGTAGAGATGGAATGGTTGAAATGGAAATATATTTCAAAATGATATAGGCCTTTTATATGCAGATGGAACAAGCTACCAAATGCAGAAGCCTTGGAAACGGAACTGTCTTTTGATGCAAGTTTATATTATCATAAGTAGAATGCAGATTAAAATACACTACCCATCGTAGAAGTCTTTTCATAGAAAAGTAAATACGCTGTACTCTGCAATACCTCATCTACTCCAACCTCCCTGATCTCAATATCAGAAGTGTAATACCACCTGAAAAATAATACGTTCATCATGATTCTCTTACGATAAATCAGCTTCGAAATAGAAATTAACATCAGTTGTTTTAGAATTTAAATTTTTTTTTGAGAATAAATAGGTCGCGTGCACGATGACCGACCCTGGAGGTGAAATATTGAAACATAACCTCACTATTCTGTGAAACATTGAAACACAACCTAACTTTTTTTTGTTTGTTTACATTAAAATGTACAATGCAGCGAGAGACGAAGGAATATGATTTTTTAGGTAAATAGTAATCTCACATAGTTTTCATCATGAAATTTTGTCATTTCTTATTGAAATTCCTTCTGCCACTTATGCAATAGAAGCTAATACTGCTAAAAGATTGAGAACGTCTACAACACACACGATCATATTTCGTCAGCAGTTTTATCGCTTGGAGCGCACGTAAGGGAATCCCTATAATATTCAAAGAACATCGTGCATCATTTTAGAAATTTCAGTATTTCTATTAGTTTCAATTGTAGAAGGAACTCCGAAGAGATAATATGTGAGTGACTATAGTAGGTACTTACTTTTAAATCATAATGCACCAACCAGATTCCTTCGTCTCCCGCTGCATTTTGCATTGAACAACAGCACAATATGATAGCATGCGTGATTTAATGAATCACTTGTAAACAAATAAGAAAAGTGAGGTTGTGTTTCAATGTTTCACCTCCAGGGGAAGAGATGATGATCAAAGGAATACAGTACAAGCTAGTTATGTTGATGTTGATTCAGATACGCCAAACTTGTGTCCAATAGTCAAGGTTTTATGAACTAGAGATTCCAGTGGCTATTTCAATACTTTGTTTCCTTAACCCTTGAGAAATGTTTTGCTATGTTGATTTCAGCGTCAGCAGATAGTTGTAGAAGTATATAAAAAGACAGCAGTTGGTTAGTATTCGATGCATTTCTAGCTGAGAAGCAAGAATCCAGATGGCTGACGAACATTGTTCTAGACTATTTGATATACTGAGCTTGAACACAATAGTCTATGCTTCATGAACTAGAGACCTCAGTCGCAATATCATGTACTACGTTGCAACTAAGGTTTGGTATGTGAAAGTATAGAAGTATAGTATAATCATCAGTTTTTGAAACATGGTTGTCTGAGTAGTAAAAATCTAGATGGTTGGACATTGCTCCTGACTGTTTCATTATCTTTACTGGCGAACTATACTTCAAAACAAGAGACCTGAGTAACAATTGGAGGAACGTTGTTTTTCTCAACCTCAAATTGTTTACAGCACGCTTATTCTTACATTATTAGATGGAGATACAAATAGGAAGGACAACAGTTGGGTCATAGTAGATGTTACAAAAAAAATTGACATTGTTCTTGACTGCAAACAACAGTATATGATTCATAAACTAGAGACCTCAGTGCAGTGGCAATTTCAGAAACTATGTTTGAAGTCAGATTGAGCTGTTGAAGCATCGAAATGAGAACATGAGATCAAGTTTCTCAAGCAATTATAAATATGACATATTATAAATAAATTTTGATTATTTGATTTGAAGTTATTGATTCAATATCAATCATAATTTTATTCGCATTCCTCACAAGTTTTACTCCATAAGTTTCTCTTTGTTCAATCAATATCAATATGTATTCTTCCAATTTTTATTTTGAATAAACATTATCATTATTATTGTTGTTAGCAGAGTAGTTATTATACATACCTGCTGTGTTGATGACCTCTCCTGTAAGTAACAAAGTGCCCAGAATGTGCATCTCCTGCGTGCACCACGACAGCCGCCAACTGGTACACGTTCCGAAACTCGTTCGCCATATCGCTGAGAGAACTGCCGGCCCAATAGAGCGGGGTGCTGCTGGACAAAGGGCTGCCACCTTCGCTGGTGCTAGTATAATTCTGGAAAAGAGTAACATGTATCCTAGAAGTGGTTCAGGATCCACTATAAGGTGTAGGTCCCGCTCTTCCTAACCCCGCACAAGTTTCGACTTCCCATCTTCGAAGTAGCGATATACAGATTATACATCACTATGAATCGATCAGCTGTCAATGAACAAGTGGTTTCAGGGGGTCTCAAATGTTGAGATGAGATATATATACCAAATAGATATCTTAATCACAGTTCCAATAAGTGTTGAAATGTGCCAAAAGAAGGCATAAAACAAGATCAAAAGCTATCAATACACAATTAGTACAATTGTTTTATATAGTCGGGACATTTTCGGAAGGCGAAATCCGCCATATAACATTGGTAAAACACAACATATACTTCCAAACGATTTTCACTTGTTTAGATACTCCCAGGTACATCCCCTACTTGAGCTACGATTAACGTTATGGAGGAATTTTCAAAGGCAGGTAGATTAACAGAGAGGGAGGCGAAATTGACCTGATCAGATTGCCAAATATTTACCATTATAATTAATTTAAATGAAGATTCATCATCCGCATCAGACGCAGACCAATGAGAAATTGACGACTGTTGGAATATGTACCTGATAAAGCTATAATACAGTTTCAGTTTGAATACAGTTATTGTATTCTAATAATCATATACTTCTCAATACCTATTTACTCATGTTAAATTCTATTGATTCTACCATACCCAGATGACAAGAGCTAAATCTCTTAATAATTCCAAATCCGATCCTGGCTATTCACATTTAGACAGAATTGAGTACGGACATACCTGTACTACAGTAGTCTTGCCACCCCACCTGTATTCTCAGACAGTCTTAGTGTAATTAGGGCTGGCCGGACAACTGTCACTCATTCGCATCACCATCAAGCAGTTAAAGTTGAAATGAAATGAACATACACATTTCGTCTCATCAACGTTTTATGGTAGACATCGCCTTCCCAAAATGTCCCGACTATATGTAAGAATTGAACAGGTTACTTTGACATATATTTTTGGTGTACAGATATATCCATTAGCTGCATCCCCACAGCTACTGATATAATTGAATATGATAAGCTATTTGTATGCATTTTATTGAAATCATATCATTTTATATGTCATGTACCTGTGGTGAGAACAGCTGTTATATTCATGTTTCCTGTTGGTTTTACCTAGAGTGACTAGATTAAATAGACTGAGGACAATAGACCCCCAAATGGCTGCCGTTTCCGTAATGTCATTTGTGGTCAAGTCACTGAATAGCTAAAAATCATCCATGCAGCAATGAATTTGCGCCTTCGAAGTGCCCACCTGATGTTAGGTTCAGATATTAGATATTTTCATTTCATCATCTAAATAATCTGAGACTAACAAGTTCCAAAAGACGGATTATAATAGTTAATATCCAAGGTATACTGACGTATAGAGTTTCATATCTGATTGTAAGATGTTTTGTATCCAAAGGGAAATAGAATGCGTAAAACTGAATGGAGAAAACAAGACAGGTGGATGCACCAACATATTAGAGGTCTGACCAATCAAAGAGTGTATCACTATTGTCGTCACTCTATTTATAAAGTCACTCTAGTTGTACTCATCCCTAGAAGTCATATCACTTGCTTCTCTATGGTGATTCAGTAATTAAAAAGTGTCCCTTTCATGAATTATGGCAATAAATGTGAACAAACTCAATATTGGTTTCTAAGTATAACTTTCATTTTATACAAAGTAATTGAGACCAGTTCAATATTTTTTTACACTAGTGAATTTTTGTGAGTATTCAAGCTGTCCTTATTACACTATATTCATGTTACAAATATTCTCAAGCTGAACCAACTCGAATATATCAAATTATTTGATGTTTTATTAAAGCTGGCACAGTCGGTAGGATTCTTTCGATGGGATGTGCTTTATCATCAGAATATCAGTGAATTTAATGTTTTTTCTGCAAGCAGGACTTATATTGAGCGTAACCCGTAACTGCTGTAATATTGATTTAGTTCTTACCGAGTTGGGTAATTTTCGTTGATAGTGAACTTGGATGAACGTATAGGCAGACATGGAAAGCCTCATCGGGAACTGTACATAGTCTTGTCTTTTGGTCATACCACCAGGTTGCCAGGTATTTCGGGAAATATGAATGCACAAACAAAGAGGTAACTGAAAAAGTTGGAATAACTCTATTATATGACTGCTAACATTCAAAGTATAATCAGAAATAAACATGATACTAGCCACCAGAGTATATTTTTTTGATAGCACCAGCATCCTGGAATTGAAATCAAGATATTTTAATTTGGTGGCTAGTTCGAGTACCAGAATGAGGTTTTACAAGGAGTGGCTAGTTATGCCACCGAACATAAACAGAGACTAGAAGGACCACTCTAAGCTCCGCCCAAAAATTTCCCTTCCTGCCCCGTCACCGATCTCAGCACTTCTCGGCACTCTCGTGTATACCGATAGTCTTCACGTTAAGCTTCTGGGTATCGCAATGTACTTGTATACCAGTTGGAATCCAATAAGACACCCCATTTCTTCATTTAGCATTAGTTCATTGTCATTAAATTGACTAATAAGAATGGGTTTGTGTTGTGTTGAAGGCTGTAACAATAAACCAGGGCATGGGATTCATTCAAGAATATTTCATTTGCACATCCATGTGAACATTTTCCATAGGAATATCTGTTATCCCTGTATACGAGAAGAATGAAAGAGTCGATAAGCCAAATATAAAATTGAATATCTTGCAGAAATTGTGAGAACATTCATTGGAAGTTTTTTTTTCTCAAAATCGGAATAATATTAGGAATATATTTTGTTTATAAACGTTCCATTTTGTCTCTGTTATTACGAAAGGGTCAAACTCTTTTCTTGAAAAACACCTATTTGTTTCGTTAGTAGGTGCTGTTATTGCTTTCAGGAAAGGCCCTATATCTGTATTGAAATAAAATGGAACATCATGAATGCCAATGATAAAGCCAAAATAAACAACGCCGTTTTCTTTAAATCGCTCTCCTAAGAAATATCGAGACAGGCACCTTCGTAATAATAGCGACAATTAGTTCGTTATTGAGATCACATATTGTTCTTGTTCTTCTTCATAAGTAGTAAATAATGAAAATTATGTATTATTCAGATTACATTTTCATTGAACCCCGTAGCGAAGCCTCTCACTGCAATATGAGCATGGCATTTCAACTGACCCTCGTAAAGACTCGAAACCAGCTGCAGGCCACCGCTTTTGTGAGCGCTACAGTCTCTGTTTATGTTCGGTGGTTATGCATTTGAAAGTCCAGATACCTTTCCGAAATTGAGAATTTTGATCTGCTTGGACAGGATGACAGGTTTGGCAGGATCTCTGCCTTTGTTGCACCCTTCACACTGGACGTCTAATACCACTTCTGGAGTTACGAAGTTGGTGAGCAGCTGGTGCAGTTTATGTCTTCCCCATCCCAAATCGCCGGCTCCACTCGGTAAAGCCAAAGAGAGACTTTCGAATTTATCATATCGAACTGCAGACTGAAAATACGCCATTGAACAATCACATAGTCCATGAAAGTTAGACTAAAGTAGGACCAAACCTCGGAACTCTTTTCCGCACGCAAATACTTATTTGCACACTTTGCGCACTTGTTATGAAAATAACCATTTTCGCCTACCTCTATCCAAAGTGATTATTTCCTTGCCTCAATGTAGGGAGCAACGTTGTACTTTTCCTCCCTAGAGAGGAAAAGTACTTGTTCTCCCTAACTTTTTCGTGACGTCAAATGGTATTTAATAGTAAATATACCAAACACGTTTATTTGTCTACTATAGAGCAGGAAAATGTATCTTCCAAATTGCAGAATTTTTAAAGCTGCCTGATGTCATAAATTATACCGGGCATAGTTTCAGAAGAACCTCAGCAAGTCTTGCAAATTCTGGAGGAGACATTCTTGCTTAGGAGTCTACGAATATCGCTGAAGGGTATGTGCAGCAATCTCTCACAAAATAGCAAAATATTTCGAACCAAATTGTGGGTCACTGAAGTTTTTTATGAAAATATCACGAAAACTCTGCATTGGCTCCAGATCTCACTTCTAGTGGTATTCAAATAAGCACTGCTGAAAACTGCACTTTTAACATGAGTTTATATAATTATTACTTTACCACAAATTGAAAATATGTAGGATGCAAGTGTGAAAATAACGTGCCCATAAGTTATACTGTATACTATATATTATATATGTATATATATTCTATTATTTGTCTTAGAATAAATGACTATCTGAAATCATTTGATCTGATGACAAAGTGCCTACACGGATTCAGAAAAAATCACTCCATAGAAACTGCAACTCTCGATTGTACCCAACATATACATGATTTGCTCGATGACAAAAATATTGTAGTAGGCATTTTCTTCGACTTAAGTAGAGCTTTTGACACCTTGAACATTAAATTCGTAGCGGAGAAGCTATACAATATTGGTATTCGAGGCAATATAAATGATTTATTGGTATCATTTCTGACGAATAGATGTTTTCAGGTGAAACAGAAGGATGTAATGTCAGATAAGTTCTTTGTAACAACAGGAACTCCACAGGGAAGTGTTCTTGGGCCACTAGCAATGGAAAAGTATATCTCTATGCAGATGACACGTCAATCATACTATCGAGTAAAACATGTGAAGATATGAATTATTTAGTCAATACAGTTCTAAATGAATTCAGTACCTGGTGCTCAAAGAACAGGCTCATAATGAATCTGAATAAAACACTTTTCATGGAATTCGCGTACTCATCTCGAAGCCTGCATAACTTTAATTTCACTTTCCAGAACAAGACTCTGAAATCAGCTAGCTCTACAAAATTTCTTGGAACAATGATCGACTCAACCGTCACATGGCAAGAGCACATAGAGTATATATCCAAAAAATTGAATCAATCATATTACCTTGTGAAATCGCTCAGAAATAAGTTAAATACAAAATCACTGATATCAGTTTACTATGCTAAGTTTCACTCCATTGTTTATTCTAACATCGCTTCCTGGGGACTAGCCACCGGGATAGACAGGATTTTTGTGAAACAGAAATCATTGCTCAGATTGATTTTCAATATAGATTATAGAACTTCCTGCAGGGAGACATTTCAACAAAATAAAATTCTGACTGTGGCAAGTATGTTCATCTTGAAAACGTTAATGTATATCTACGAAAATAAAGGTCAACTACAAATGAGAGCAGAAGTTCATAATTACGACACTAGGAGTAAAAATATGCACAGTACTCGAAGACACCATTATGCAAAATATGAAAAATCCCCAAAGTTTATCGGCATTCGTCTGTATAATATTTTGCCAGATGATATAAAGACGGTATCATCTCAGCTTTTCAAGAGAAAACTGAAACTTTTTCTATCGGAAAATTGTTTCTATACAGTAGATGAATTTATACTTGGAGTTGACCGTTTTGTGTACATAAGTTAATATTTTTGGCGTCGGTGATGTTCTTGTTTAACCATATAGCATTCTAGTCCTATATTATACCTATTCAATGTTTATTTTGTGATTTTTTGTTTTTTAACCTATATTATACATGTATGTATAAGTATATGTATTGTGTAGTGTATTTTAAATGACTATTTTATATATTATCTAATGTATGACTTATCCTATCTACTTATTGTAGCACAAAGGACTAATAAAATCTATCTATCTATCTATCTTACATCTTTGTTACTTTCATCAATAAATTATTTGGAAATGTTTTCTTATTTAAGGGAGACGGAAAAATCATATGTATAACATGGGGGTAAAGTATATTGTATTCTTCATTTTCCTGCAATTTCACATATTACTTTTTATAAGCCTACTTTTCGTCCTAGAATTAGTCACTCCATAAATTTTTCTCCGAGTTGGATGTCCGAAAATATATTTAGCACACATGACATGAGTACAGTAGTTCAGATACCCACATCGAGGTTTCAACCATTTCTCAATCATAAGGCTCAGCTCATTCAGCTCATAGTTAAACTACTGCTCAGCTTGAAATCAGAATTCATTCAGTCAATTCAGTCAACCCTCGTATACAGTCTAAGAACAGTCTCTTTTGGTGAAATATATTAAGCTTTTAGTACAAATTATAAGTTCCCTACCTCGCAAAGATTATGCTGGAGTAGTAAACTCTAAAACTAGAGGATTGTTCAACTATATCTTGGTATAGTTGAATCAGGAATTCCATATGGAAATTACGTATGATACGCCAATGACCTCAATATAACCTAAAAGACAACAAATGTCAAAAATCCGATAGGTATTTTGAGCCGATACCACTCGATACATCTAGAAATCTCAGAGTAGCTACTCCTTTGATTTATTTCCACTACGTGTGACCAATATTTTTAAAACAAAAATTGTTTGCCTGTATGTCACTGTGGTGAATTATTTCTTGGTAATGGAAAGGGTTCGATCTCTTCAGTACATATTGTATGTTAAGTTCTTCCATAATCACGAGATTTTTGGAAAAAATATATTTTCAGCCTATGTAAAATTATTCCATATCGTTAGTGATTTTCGAAAAAAAAAATGGCACCAGTATACAAAATATCTCCTTCCCCCCGTATAATTCCATTATCAACATTAGTCATAGATAAATAATTTTTTGTTCGGAAATTAATCGGTTATCAGCATGATTCAACTTATTAGTCATTCATTCGGGACCAGGTGGTAAATCAAGACAGTCGTATATTAGATGTCATCACGTACGGTTGAATTTTGTGATCGACATCGAAAAATACGCGAAAGGAATTATTTATCGTTCCAAACTGAGTGTTCCCTAGAAACTGAGTGATCGCATTGATTCGTATATATAGTGTTTTTGTCTAGTGTTTCGTGTTGTTTCATCAAAGCCTCACTTTTTTCACGCTGGTGAGTGCAGAGAAATTCTCTCAATTTTTCATTTCATTTAACTTTATTACCCTATACAGGGTATGTCACGACGAGCTTACACTATCGAGAATCAGTCGGGAGAAATCCATGAAAATGTACATGCTTATATTTTGGCATACGCTCTTTTCATTTTTGATATGTGTATTATGTTTAAACACGGGATATAAGGCACGTTGGAATAAAACAACTTTTAACTTCACTCACTGACTGTCACACAACGACTGACTCAACCCCCGATCATCCAAGTCGTTATCACCCGATGAGTCAGTAGTGTGTGCATCATTCCTTTATTAGCTAATCTGCATACTACATCTCTCCCATGTTTTTCATTTCTTCATTACAATAGTTTTTCTTACAGCTAGGGTCCAACATTTTCATATAATGATACGTTATACAATACTATTCAAATTAACCGCTAATGCAGCCTTACCCCCATAACCTATGAACTTAAGTTACTAGCTAATACTAACTTTTTTTATTCTATCAATAACAATAATGCCAACCTATAACTAATACAAAAGAATTCTTGATAATTGTTCATCAGAGGGAACTACGAGTTGTCAAAGTCAATTACGAGGTCAATTATTTTCTTTTGGTTCCTCCGCTATCTGAGGTGATACCTTCCATTCTCCTTCAATTTTTTTCAGATGTATCACGTTCCTCCTTAGTTCCTGACCTGTCTCATCATTTCTGACTTGGATATCGGCTCCTTTTTTATTTATTACCGTATGGGATTCCGGAATAAAGGTAGGACAGGTTTTGTTTTCTCTCCGCATGTCTTTAATATATACCTTATCACCTTCATGAAGGTTGTCTTCCTGTGCTCTCCTTTTTTTGTCACTGTATTCTTTACCTTTCTCTTTTTGTAATTTATCATTATCTCTAACTTCGTCCTCTAGTTTATTTTCGAGATATATTAAGCTTGGAATTTTATCTTTGAACTGTCTACCAAAGAAAAGCTCACCAGGTGGTTTTCCCGTGACAGAATGTGGTGTGCTATTGTACATAACCAAATAGTCAAGTAGGTCTTTTTTCCAGTCTTGATTTAGCGATTGACTTATTTTTATTCGTTTTAGTATGTCTCGGTTCTGTCGCTCCACTTCCCCGTTTTGTTGTGGCCAATATGGAATCGTGTGGAAGAGAGTTATACCACTTCCACGACAGAATTTGTTCAGTTCTTGGCCTGCAATTTGTCGACCGTTATCAGCTGTTATTGATGAAGGGTAGCCGATCCTTGAAAATATTTCCTGAAGTAAGTCGATTGTCTTCCTGGCGGTTGTGTCCTTCGTTATTTTTATTTCTTTGTAACGACTGTAGTAATCTATGACAACTAGTATGTATTCCTTACTAGGTAGAGGACCCAGATAATCGATTGCTATATCAATCCACGGTTTAGCTGGCAGTTCTCGCCGTTTCATAGGATTGGGCAGAGCTGGTGTCGAAACTAAAATACAGCCCTTGCATGTTCTCACTAATTTTTCCGCGTCATTGTCAATTTTGGGCCACCATACCTTCGTTCTTAGTCTGGCTTTCATGGCTGAGATTCCTGGGTGACCTTCGTGGGCTGCTAAAAGAACGTTTTGTCGTAA